AAGATTGATTTCTCATGGTTTCAGAGATTTTAGTCCATGGTCATCTGATTCCATTGCTTCTGGGCCATGGTGAGAAAGAACATAATGGAAGAAGAATATGAATCTGCAAAGATGACAACTTCATGGAATCCAAGAATCAACACAGAGACGCTCAGGGGACAAGACAAGGCACGCCCCCAGTGACCTACTTCCTCCAAGGATGCCCCACATCTGAGGTCTCCACTACTTCCTAGTAATATCATCAAAATATGATTCCATGATGAATTAATTCAATGAAGAAGTCTTGGACCTCCTGGTTGAAGTACTCTGAAAAAAAAAAAAAGCCCTATTTGCTGTCTTCAGTGACTTCTACTTGGATGCTCTCTTGTAATGACATTGATCCTTGCCAAGTAATTCAACGTAGATTTCAAATTCAAGGTCAGCTGGTGTGGTAGTTTGGATGGGATTTTCCTCCATAACCTCCTAGGGAGGTGTGACTTTGTTGGAGCAAGTGCATTATTGAGGGGGTAGGCTTTGAGGTTTCCTATGCTTAGAATACCACCCGGTGTCTCAGTTGACTTCCTGTTGCCTGCAAGATGTCTGCCTGCTCTCTGCCATGCTCCCTGCCATGCTAATAATAGACTAAACCTCTGAAACTCTAAGCAAGCCACCCCGATTAAGTGGTTTTACTTCATAAGAATTGCCATGGTCATGGTGTCTCTTCATAGCAATAGAAACCCTAACTGAGACAGCTGGTAAGCAACCTCAATTCATATGCAACCTGAACTTATCCTGTTCTGTAATTGGCCATATTTACAGGTCTGGGATTAGAGAGTGGGTATCTTTGGAGAAGACCTTATCTGGCCCCTACAACATAATTTTTATTATTCTTTAAAGCCAAATTTTCCTTCTATCTTTGTTCTCAGGCAGGTGTTGAAGAGAGGCGTTTACACAGGCTTAATTGGCTGGGTGTATAGATAATCCAGTTATAAAGGAGGCTAGCCTTTTATGCCTTTTCCTGCCCTTATTGTAGTCCCTGCAACTGAACTATGATACAGTCTAACAAGGAAAAGCCCGACCATTTTGACAGCACTGACCATCTCCAGGTGATGGATACGTGTGTGGAAAAAAAATAGAAGGAACAGTACAGGCAGGAAGAAAGATTCAGAGCAGAAAAGGCAATGCTAGTGTGGTTGTCTCTCTTCTCCTCCCATCCTAGCAATGCCTCTAACAAGCTAGAATCCATATACTTCACAGTGTGAAAGCAAAAACTTCGGTGGGTTTTAACACATTCACAAAGTTGTGGGACCGCCACGACCATATGAGATGAAAGAACCATATGAGAAAAGAAATCATCCATCACCCCCAAGGATACCCAGTTTCCACTGACAGTCACTCTTCATTGTGCTACAGGAAACACTGATCTCTCCCTGTGAATTTGCCTAGTCTGGGCATTTCATAAATAGAATCGTGTAATATATGGACGTTCGTATCTGAGTCCTTTCACTTAGCATAATGCCGTCCCTTAGCGGCTTCATTCCTTTTTATTCCCAATCATCTTCCGTTGTCTTGTTATTACAGCATTCATAGTTGATCGTCACTTTGGATTGTTTCCACTTTTTGATGATGGTGAATAATATTGCTATAAATATGCATTACAAGGTTTTGTGCCTACATGGTTTCAGTTCTCCTGGGTATATACTGGGAATATAATTTTGGGTCATTTGGTGTCTGTATGTTTAACATTTTGAGGAATTGCCAAACTGTTTGTCAAGCATGCAGCTGCATCATTTTGCACTCTGTGCAAAAGCATTTGCGACTTCTTTGCCTCTGTGGTCTCACCCGCACTTGGGCTTCTCTGTGTTTTGATTAGAGGCAGCCTGGTGGCTATGGAGTGGTATCTCTGTGTGGCTTTGATTGACATTTCACTAATGACTAATGGCACTGAGTATCTTTTCTTGGCCTTTGCAGGGTTATCTTTCCAGCTTCACTGAAACCAACTCAAGCATTCAACAACGATGAACACTATTGATGTTTCCCTCTTTCTTGAAACTCCCCCTTCTCTGGGCTTCTGGAAGTTATCATCTCTTGGTTTATATACTTATTGTGTTCGTAGGTTGAGTCCTACTTCTCTTTCTTAGAAGGCTGTGCACTGGCTTTGTCATGATTTCTTGGTCCTGAGAGACTGAGAGGGATGTCAGAATCCTGTGATTAGGCTGTCACTTAGCAGTCTATGTCAGTGTATCAGGTATCAGGAGGAGGTGAGATCATGCCCTCAGGGAAAAATCACCTAGACAGTGAGCTGTTTACTATATTTGGTATCACAGCAAGTTTTAAATGGTGTCCGGTGATGGAAAGTGGCATTTCCAGAACTGAATGGTAGTAGCCTATAGAAATACTCTGATGAGTAAGCCCAGAGGAGGAGGGGATTGAAAGGGAATCAGAGACAGGTCCAGACCCTGGAGTCACTGGCATGACCTTGGGGACAGGCAGAGAGAGTGATCAGTGCTGGAAACCTGGGCAGCATATGGAGATAGCTCTCCACATACCACAGCAAGGCAGGCCAACAAGGTGTTTCCTCAGCACATTTCACAGGGGTAGACCTAAGAACAAAGGGATGGTCTGAGTCAGTGGCTCTCAAGTGAGCAGCATCACTTGGGGAGTTATTATAAAGTAGATTAGAACGTCCCTAATCTTAGCAGTACGTAGCTATTTACTGCTGTTTGGTAATCAAAACAACAGAAACAGAATCTGCCAGAAGAGATGCTTTCATGGTGGCCCCTTTAAGGAGCTTCTGAAATACCAACTTTGCTAATATAAAGCCAGTCACTGAACATGACCTCCGATCTTCAGATTGCATTCTTAGCAGTAATGCTGTCCCCACTGCATCTGTGTGTGTTGAGAACACTCTGCTAAATAGCACCACAAGCATATGACAACCATGCACTTAGCAGATTTCATACGTTAGGTCCATAAGGTGGGGAGGCTGCAGTGCCCCTTACAGCGAAAGATGCTGAGTCACAGGCCTGCCGTGGCAAGGTAACACAGCTAGTAGATATTGTGTATACTGTATTCCAGATAAAAGCTGTTACTGTTATGTTCTGTGTCCTCTGGCAGTATGAGTACAAAATTTTGCTCTGAAAATTGTGATGACTTACACGTAAGGAATGGGGTGGAGAACAGGTAAGTGACATCAAAGAAACAAGAGAGAAAGGGTGTTGGTGAGAAAGGAAGGGAGGGGGGAAAAGGAAGAATTATACCAGGATTTGCAAGTGAAGACTAGCGGACAGAGGGCTCTCACCCTGTGCTCAGCCATTTCCCCTCCGTGTCTTCTCTGGTCTGAAGTCTGATTCATTAAGCTACTCTGCATGGTTACTTTCTTCTTGGGCCCATGTTGCAAGGCTTTCTTGTAAGAATTTGGTTCCTAGGTAGTTTGTAACTTACTTCTCCATGTCTGTCTGTTTCTGTATCCCTCTTTCTTTGTTCACATTTGAGACTTAAGTATGTCTATGTCCCATTGACTCAAGGGTTTGAGGTTGCCTTCATCATGAGCTGGAGGTGATTTGGGAAGAAACATGTCACTGTCTGGGGACTGTGTACTCAGGGACAGACGTGAAGCTCTTCTTTGCTTCATTCACCTTGGACAGCCCAACTTACTGCCTCTCCTGTATACCTTATTGTTCTCCCTTTCTTGTACACAAAACCACGAGATATTTCACGTTCTGTTCTCTGGAGGTCCATCATTGTAGCCCAGCGGTAGGAACCAAGATAGGGTGTGGGGGGAGTGATTGGGGATGTACTTTGATTCTTTGCCTGTCTTTCCATACTTTGGCTTTTCCATTTTCCTTTCTCTGTAATTAATAACAAGCGCAGGAAGTTAGCTCAAGGCTATGAATAAGGTTTAGGTTTAGAGAGATACAACAGATACCATTAGTAGAGTAAAACTCCCAAGTAGCATTTTAGCCCTTAAGAATATATATATTGAATTAGATACGCTGTGATCCTTAAGTCATGATCTCTGACTAATAAGTCTGCTATGTCTATTACATGGGTGCTTTAGTAGATTAGACCAGGGAAATGAGGGATTTAAAAGATTAAGTGAAGGCCAGTAAGATGGCTCATCAGTAAAGGTACTTGCTGCCCAGACTGACAACCTGAGTTCTATTCCCAAAATGCATCTGACCATCATACACATGTGCACACATGCGCGCGTGCATACACACACACACAGACATGATTGCACACACACACAGAGACAGACAGACACGTCCTAGATTTATTTTTTTTAAACGTTTTTAAAAAGATGACGCTCAGAGAATTACTGTGTAATGTTAATGAAAATGAACAAGAGGACAAGACCCATGTGACGTCATTTCCTGTGAGAACTCTACCACTCTCTGCTCAGAGCACTTATCTCTCTGAGTATTAGTTTTTCCTTCTGTAAAATGAAGATCACTTCAGAAAAGAACTGGGAAGTACTCCATGAAATATCATCCAGGACTAATACAATCTCTGGTTGTCATGGCAAATAAGAATGAGCGAGAGCTGTCTGTCTTATATAATTAGTAGTCAAAGCCAGTGTTCTTGATTTGGGCCACACTACTTCCTCTTTTCACCAATTCCCCGGCTATTTATTCAGTTCTCTCTTGACCAGTCCTTCTCTCTTGTCAGCTTCAGAGTCACAGTCACAACAACTGTCTCTGAAGACACGCTGTCATTTCAAAGCCCTGGCTGACTACAGCCCAGACTGACAGTGACGCATGATTCCACAGAGCCTGTGATGCACGCTGACATCTCCCTCAAGCTCTCGTAGGCCGCCAACTTGTATCCCTCTTGTTCTGTGTTTCTCCACTTACAGCAGATTTCAGATGTAGTTTCTGAAAGTGATCATCAGCCTCTCCTGAAAAATAATCCAGCAAGAACCCGTAGAGGGTAATTGGCCTTCGGGAGAGCATCACTGTCAAGTCAAGAGACAGACGGTGAATTAAACACATTTTTCTTTCTTTCTTTTGTACCTCCAGCATGTGCATGTCCACATTCTTCCGAGAAAAGCAGGGGACTTCAGCAGGAATGACAGCATCTATGATGAGGTGAGTCTGTCCTTTGTGACCTTATTATTGGGTCACAAGGCCTGTCAGTGTGACTGAATCAATCTAATTATCTAGACGTCACCGCAGACATGATCTTCAATGATATTCTACCCAAGAGGATTTGGGAAGTGGTAGTAGAAGCTAGCAAGCTTAGAGTGACCATCAGGGGCAAAAGAACTGAATTATATATATATTTTTTTTAACTAATGAAAGCCAATAGCAAACCAAGTGTTTTTGTGATTTCTACTTTGTCATGTTTATCAGGACACTTAATATCTGTGTGAAGACATGATCCTGAATCTCCATAATGTAAAGTGTTACCAGTAGAAGTCAAGCAGAGTGTCATATGATTCTTTGAGATGGATGTGCTAACTTTGGGAGCTGGGGAGATAACTCAGTGGATATATTGCTTCCATGATAAGCATGAGAACCCGACTTTGCTGCAATCCAAAGATACCAATGTCAACTCAGCACTCTGTGAATCATCAAGGGCCACATGATTCTACTCTGGGGTCTTATCCACATGAAAACCTTCCAGTGTCTGCATGTGCTGAGTAGAACATTGCCTGTGGTAGAGTGGACTAGAAGAAAATATAAAGTTATTTCACTTTATGTACTGACCATAGCAGTGGAACAGAAAATATATTTCTTGCTTTTGAGAGCTGATCACATGGCACCAGTGCTCCAGGGTCATTGCGTTAAAAACACTTTGGCTGTAACAAGAAAAGGTGCTTGGCTTTATTGGCAACGTCTGCCTTGGGTGTCAAGATAGAAAGATATTAGTCACATATTTGGTTATCTTCTTCCAGCCTTTTGGGGGAAAATTCACTTTTATTTTTAATTTTACTTGTTTATTATGTGTCTCTGTCAACTAGACCTATAAGAAAATAAGATCTTCAACTTGTCCCCAAGGTCTACATGAACTGGATATATCTCTGTGTGTTCATTGGGTTTTCTCTAATGAGCTAGGCTTTAAAATGGTTATCCAAACATTGTAAATAAAGAATGTCAGCATTTAGTAAGGACATACATTGATGTCTGCTCAGGGACTCGGTGGATCACTTGATGTATTCTTCAACACTACTGTGAACTTGTGTAAGCTAGACATTGCTTAGCCACAGTTTTGAGAGCTGACTTGTGACCTAGAAGCTTTCTGAAATTCTTATTTATTTAGGGATATCTTTATCTCTAGAGATTGTGTTTGGGTAGATGGCAAAGGCACATGAGAACAAATTATTAAAGTACCAAACCCCTCACAAGTGATTCTGATATAGTTATAGGTGGTAGAGTAGGTCCTATGCACAGCCTGGGCTTCGCAAAGCCTCTGAACACTCTAGATGTGAACTCCGTTCAGCGGATGTGAAGTGCAAGCTGACAGTTGGTAATGGCTTTAAGTCTGTGTGGGAAGAAAGTAAGAGCTACAGAATCATTATACAGAGATATATTAAATACACAAGTACACAGCTTATTAATGTAAACCAAGGTTAATAAAAATGTTGCCAAGTACAGGATATTTTAATGAATAAATTACCACATGATTTATATACAAGTGAATGCAGTTGGAGTGGCATTAAAAGTGCTTGAAAACACTGTTTTCCTAGGCCGATCAGTCACCTTGAATCTTGTTTATCTACCAAATGGGCTATTGACAGAAGCTGTGTGCATGCATTTCAGCTCCGTCCAAGACACAATGGCTGACATTGCACAGTACCTGGCTAATACTCTCTTGCCCTTTTTGCACACTCCAGCGACATCTCTCGACTCACAAATAAAGCAACATGTGTTACTACAGCCCATATATCCCTGTATATGAACAAGTAATTTCCAAAAGAACTATTTTTTTTTCAGTCAGTATTAGCTGATAGTGTAATATTAGCTTACAATATGCTCTACAGAGATAGTGGCACAAAACTAGAAAGTGGTTAAACAGATTAAAGTTCATTGCAGCCTACTGAGGGGCAGACCGTCATTAAAGCCACTTGGCTTCCATGTCTTAATTTTCTTATCTTTAAAATGAATAATGTTTACCACTCCCAAACTTGGCATGCCTATTATGGGACATAGAGCTACTAAAAGCAGATTTTGAGGATTGGTACATACTAAACAGTTATTAGTAGGTTGCTACTTATTATTGTTGTTACTAATTTGCTTTGGAACATATACAGAGGGTAAGGGATGGGTAATCTAGGTTTCAAACTAAACTGTTAGATGTCCTCATTTAGCACCCTTTGCCAGGGTGAGTAAAACATCATGCTTCCAATTTTCCCTCTGCCTTTAGCTACTCAGCCTCAGCTTGATCTTCCTCTTCATTTGAGAAGCATCTCTCGTTTGAGTACATAATAAGGCAATGCCTTCCAAGAGGCATGGGAAGCATAAAACGTCATGCAGGCCTTACTGGTACAAGATGTAATAGACATTAGACTGAGTGATGTTAATCAGAAATGATAGGGTGATGAGGGATGACATTCCTTATACTGATGAAATCACTCACTCACTGGGAATTGTGTAGACACAACAAACAGGCCGGCTTGGAGGGAGACAAGTGGGAAATAGAAATAGCAAGAGACCAAGCCCAGTGAATGCAATTGCACCCCTACAATTACAATCTACAGTATGATACCTAAAGAAGCCCCAGGTTGAATTTGCTCATAAGGTGACATTCTTTGTTAGCACAGTTTTAAGATGAATAGCAATAATGGAGAAGCTTCGCAGAAGGGGTGCAGGATGGCAAGTTCTGGGAACAGAGAACTGGGGACAAAGACACTTGAAAGGGGAAACAGAATATGCATAGATAGAAGATGACATAGTCACTGCTTCTAACATTCTGGAACATTTTTTGAAAGGACTCTAAACATGTCCCATGTGTCATTAATACATTCCGTGCAGCTTCTAAACACAGATCTAGGAGTATCAGGCTACAAGGAGACCAAAGTCAACATCAGAAAAGGATAGACCACATTTAGGAAAAAGCTTTGAACCGTTAGAATGACCTTTGCATGAAAGGGTGATTCCATCTTTGGATCCCTTCAGGTCATAATTGGTCAGAAGTGTGTGAGATCACTATGGGGACCACGGGGTTGCACTGCCTGCCTCTCCATATCTGGCTCGTTCTCCCGTTTATGGCCATTGTCACTGCAAATTCTGAAAAATGGTGCCATTCTCTGGTTAGTATTATGGTACTTGGGCAGCTGCCTATCCAAACATTCTTTGTTTAGTTCTTAGAAATACAAGATGTAACTCTTTCTTGACTTGTATGAGACTATCGATTTGTCCTCATTTCCAGCAGCCTCTTCTCGACTTTTCTCTAGCTCAGCAATGCATACTGATGATGCGTAGGCTTTGCTGGCTTCCCCACATGGGTTCTGTCATTCCCTGCAAAGTGCTTTTTAATGATGTGCTTCATTTTTGTCTGAAAAGTAGTTTTTAATGAGGGTGGATGCTGGTAAGCATGTCACTCATGCTGTAGGTCAGGAGGGCTCCCACGATTCTGCCTCCTCCCTACACTTCTGTCCCTCACTTAGGCCGTGCCCATGTGTCTTTCCAGGCTCTCCAAATTAAAGCCTTTCCCCCAAATGCAGCATGAGAGGTCAGTATAAGCGGCCCTGGTTCCCAAAATCATCTAAATTTGAGCTCCTGCCCCAGTTCCTCTCTTATCTCTATCATTCAAATGTCACTGCTCTCTGGAACATGTGTCTGGCTCAGAATTTCATGACAAACCACCTGTAATATCCATTTCACCCTTCTGTTTGTTTCTTTATTTACAATGCTCTGGCCCAAAGCGATTTCTTCCGATTCAATGTTGGGTCTTGCCTACGTTTCTGCCACCAGAACTTGTTCTGCCTTCCCATATAACATGTTTTTTTGCCAAACTTAGCATTGGCATTCCTCGGGGCCTTTGTACAAATTGTTCTCTTTGCCTGTGGTGTCTGCCATCTGTTTCCATTCATGTACATCGGTGTCTTTATCCAAATCTTAGGTCAAGGCCACCCCCTAAAAGAGCACTCCTTCCTCTTTTAAAGATTTAACGAAAGTAACCACTCTTGCCTTAGCACCATAGTTCCTTCCTATTAACATGCCAGTTACATCCTTAACAACTCACTCCAGATAATTTTCAGTTGGTATGCAACACCTGCATCGCCCAAGTGCATTGTAAAGCTTTGAGGGCAGGGACCCTAGCCTGGTGTAGGGTAGGTCCTCAGTGGATATCTGTCACTAGAGGCACATATGCCAGGACAAGAGTCCCACTTCAGGAACTTGCCATCCCCAGCAAGCTAAAACCTACTATAACAGGAGAGTGCATCTTGCTTTCGGGGGGGGGGGGGAGGGGGGTGATTCATCAACTCTTGGCTTCCCTGGGTGTGAGTGGAACATGGTGCCATCAGCCATCTAAGGGTAATTTAATGGGGCGTTGATAGAACAGAACCCTTTGGTCAGAAATCAATGTGCTGCAGAAGGCTGAAAAGTGTGGCGCACCAGAAAGGTTTGGAGAAGCAATTATAAACCTCATCTGATTGCTAAGCAAGTCTGGTAGCCTTGTGTCAAGGACGATAAGTAACTTTTCCCCTGGAAACCGAGATCTGTCTTCCTGTAACAAATACAGATGTGAGGTTTGCTGAAAGCAGGCTGGAGGCCCACTCTGCTTTTGTTCTTTAATTATTGTCCTGGAGTTTATCTTCAATTATTCTCCCTCAAGCTTTGTGTCTTAGACTTGTCCTTATGCATTTTACTCACCTTTCCAGTCCCAAGATTTCAGAGCAGGAGGCTTTCTCCTTTCCCCCAAACTAACGTTCAACTCCACACCTTCCAAAGCATACAGCTCTGTCTTCACTGTTCTCCATAGAGCTATGGGCAGCTCACAAACTCTGTGTTGTATTTTCTTGGAACTTGCATGAATTATATAAGGCCATCTCTGAACTCTCCAGCACCTCTATTATCTTGACAAGTTGATGAAGATTATGATAATGACATAAATGGTTCCTTGGATCAAAGAACATGCATAG